CAGCCTGGGACGCAGGGGCAGCTTGTCCTCCGTAGTGCGCAGGGGCAGCATGGGGCTGGGGCGCGTAGTCAGCCTGGAGCGCAGGGGTAGCTTGTCGCCCGCGGGGCGCGGGGGCAGCGGGGCCCGCGGCGGGAGAGGTAATTAGTCGGACGTCGCGAGGGTGTCGGCGGACGTGTTGTTGCAGACCCATGCTCTCAAGGGTTCCGAGGGCCCCCGTGTCTATCAGCCTCAGTACGTCCAGGAGCTCGGCGTTGCCGGCGTCAGGGGACTGCTCTGGTGGTGGTGCAGCGGTAGTAGTGCTTGTCGTGCTTGTCGCACTAGAGCCCGTCAGCCCCATGCTCTCAAACAGGGCGAGGATGCTGCTGAGGTCGTCCTGGCGCCGGGACTCGGGGAGGTTGTCCTTCTCGAGGACCACGACGACGCCCTTCCCCTCTGGTTCCTGGAAAGACGCATCTGCATCGCCGAAATCCTACACACACAAAAAAAACACTAGTTTTATCATGAAGTTTATGTTTACGAAGCACACAAACAAAAAGTCTACATTACACACCTTGCTGCCTGCTGCGTCAGGCTCAATGAACTCCAGCTCTTTCTCGAGGAACACCAGGACGTCCTTGCCGTCCGCCTGCTGCTTCGCCTCCTCGTCCCTACACAAATGGGCTCGTTTAGAGACTCAAGTCCTATGTGCGGAGTAATCTTCCCACTTGTACATTCACCGGCGCGTTCGCGCCCCCTACCTTCGCTGCGCCTGCCTCAGGGCGTTCACGACGTCGTCCTCCGAGTGGCGCTGCATGACGAGCATGAGGTCGGCGGGGAACAGCAGCGACCCGTCGGGCAGCTGCTGTTGTTTACCGCCCTGGTACTGGTCCACCATGTCGGACCACGAGCGCGCGATGTCGTCGGCCACCATGGCCACCACCGGGGCGTCGTCGTCGGCGGCGAAGGCGGCGCTCGGGCTCGGGGACTCGGTGTCCGAGGCGCGGACCGCGGCCAGGAGGAGCAGGCCCAAGGCCACGACCTGTGCGGAGTATCATCATGTCATCCTCTGGTGCACCGTGGGTTTCCTTACATACAGGGGTGGTGGTGGTGTACAGCACATTGCCTATCTACCAGGCGGTTTACGAGAAATGACCGGCGGCGATTCAAACCTTTTCTTTCTTTCCAACGAAAGTTTTTTTTTTTTTCACCTCGCAACAAACATTCACATTTGCAATTCTGGCTCTCGAGAATGTAACTGTTCCTGTATAGGGTGTCCCATAGACCCGCACTATTTTGGTTATGCTGTACCGCATGCAGGCGTGTGGGAGTGGGCGTGCTAGCCTCCACGTCCGCATGCGGTACAGTAAAACCCGTAAAATAAAAATAAAAATAAAACATGCGGGGTCTGAGGTACATCCTATAAGGACACGTTGTGCTGCTCTCCAACAACGCCACTAGCGCCACACATGTGTTGACATTCCGAAGCTCGCCACCACTGGCACTGCTGGTGACGCCACAGCTACCCACTCACCTGCACAAGCCGCATCGCTGAAAGCTATGATCCCCGTTACCGGGGGAGAACGCCGGCGTTAGTGGGGGTGAAACTGAGAGTCCCTTTGGGCGTGTCACTCGTCACTCTGCCGGTCACTCATCACACACGCCACTCACTCACACACTCACTCCGCTCTGGACTTGGTCGCATCGGCCACTGGTGGGACGCCGACGGCACGCCGACCGGGGGTGACAAAAATGCTAACGTGTTCACTACTCGCCCAGGGTGGCGCACCGGCCGAGCCCCGCGCGCTCTCCCTCCCTCTCCGGATCGGACACCTGGCGGCAGGGTGATATTCCTGAGTGAGGCAAAAGATACCCTGCCGAAAGCTGATGACATGCTACACTACGGGCTTCGTCGTGGCCGCCCGGCGGTTTTTGGTTGCAAAAATGTCGGTCAGCGCACACGCGCGGCCGAAATCGAGACGAGCGTTCGCGAAAACCCTTAAAGTGTGCTTTGTTGGGAGCGGACATGGTCCAGCGATGAGTTTCTCGTTGACAGCCGCAGGGGTTTTGTTTTCGTTGGACACAGTCCATTATATGTAGGCCACCACCTCAGTGTTCAAGGTTATTGATAATTTTTTGTTTTTAATTGTTTTTCTTGCCCTTCTCGACCATGCAGATTGCGGATGCTGCCCAACAAGGCCAGTATGCCAGCTGCATTAAAGAAAACACAACAAAAAAGACATGCGTCGACCCCGTCCTATTTTGCCAGCAAGCTCCCGCGCGCAGATTCACACTCACATACACATACACTCTCTCTACTCACACACACACACACACACACACACACAGTCCCGCCGTTTCAATGAGCCACAGCCGATAACGTCTGACCGATCGCCGGTCACCCGCGGGTCACGTGGCTGCGTACACCGAGCGTACACGTCTGTACCGCCCGGCGATGAGGCGAGACAAGTCCGATCGATTCAAATCTCTTCTTCGTCTTCTTCTTCGTCTTCTTCTTTCCTCTGCGGGGTGTATTCTTTTTGCTGCACTGGCATTCTCACAAAATAGCGCACGGCCGGGCTGCCGGGCTGGTCGGGCCGCGCGCCCTCTCCGAGGCAAACAGCTGACGTGCGAGTCGTATATGAGTGGAAAAGAGAAGGGGGGGGGGGGCTGCGCTGGCACGGGTTAGGCACGGGGCTCTCGCCTATGCTGGCCTCTGCGGCCGCGTGGCTGCCTCAGCCTAGCTCAAAACCGGCCAGAAGGCTCTCCCTCCCTGACCAACCCGCAGCAGTCCGCCTCTGAAAGTTGGTCCGTTTTCCACAGATCACACAGATCCATTCGGCAAAGTACAGAAGCAAGGCGCCTGCGAGACTCGGGGTAGGCCAGCCCACAGTTCACGCATGCACTGCTGGAAAGATGTTGCATACCTGTCAGGCGCTATGAGAGCTTGCCTAGGCTGAACTTAAGAGTTACGTTACGGAGAATGAAGGACGTACTTTTTGGGCGACCCTTGAAATGTACCGGGAGCGGGAGCTACAGGTCGGGGTCGACGCACGATCGGTTGCCTACATTCTGGGGTTTTGTCGCGAAAATCACCTACCCTTCAGGTGGCTATCTCTAGAGGCCACAGAGGAGGGGGGGGGGGGCTGCCCCCCTTAATCCGCGCTTGGACCCAAAAGTCCAAAAGGGTATGCGATCCCGCAACACTGAAGAGTCCGCTCTGAAACATCCGGTGCAGTCGAAGTAGGGAATCGATCTTGATTTGCTTAAATAATCAGTAACATTTTTGCACCTGCGGGGTGACCCCCCTCCTCCCCCCTC